GAAACACATCAGTTCTGTCTGCTGGAACTCGTGTTGTAAATGAGTTAAATGAGTATGAAATGTTTTCTGTTGTTCCTCTCCTAATCTTTTAGCATTTCCGTGAAGGGTATAATAGCTGTGCCATGCCACCTCACAGACGGATGAGATGGTCTTTTCAGCTCGCAGCTAGTGTTAGCAAACCACGTCGAGGTTCTCATGAGTTGTTGGAGAGGTGCCATGCAGCTTGTGGCTTTTTTTCATGATCCTAAGTGCTCATAGCAGCATCTCATCAGTCAGTGGGAAAATAAGTTTTATGTTTTTCTCTATGACGAAGACTTTAGCAGGGTTGCTTTCTCTTACCTAGAGGATTTTGAACAAACGAAATATATTCAAAACAATGTAAACCCTGCAACAAGTAGTATATTGAAATGTTCGTGAAAACGTGTAGTGTAGTCTCACTGGATAATGAGATACATGGATACAGGTTATATTACCTGGATACAGGTAATTGCTGTTCTGCTGAGCTTTTTGTACTCTGGTTACATAACTGTGATGGAAAAGATTTTAGAAATTATGTAACACTACAAATACTTATGGATCTGCTACAAAAGAGAAATTAAACCTGGGAGGCAGCAAAATATATATCAGAATAATCTGATTTTCTCTCCATCAGATTATTCACAGATTTTTTTGTCATTCTCTTTTTTAACCTTTTTTCTTTGTATCAAACCTGACCAGACATTGCGTGAAACGTAAAGACATATCGTTTAGTGGAGGTGCTCTAATTGAGGTGGTGGAAAAGAGACCAAATCAGGACTTGGGGGCCTGTGAACTCAAAAGCCTCTTTGTCTTTTCCATGCCCTTCGGCTGGTCTAATGACAGAAACCACCTCCTCCTCCTCCTAGTCTTGCCTCAGAGCCTGTCCTCCCATCCCGCAGCATGGGCTTGCAATGCCAGACAGCAAAAGGGTTCCTCTGGCACAAGCTGCTTGTGCGGTTCGTGCTCACGCCGCACCACCGGCAGAGCTGGCAGCTTTACCTGCAACAGGAACAAACCACGACTGGTTCAGTGCCCCCCAGGGCTCCACGAGCAGCCTGGGCATTCGCTCTGAACCCTGCAGTGCTTGCCTGGGACGGCAAATCCTCCACTAATTCTCACTGATGTTTGGATTACAGGACATAAATGCTTCAATGACAAACAGCACGGTGACAAGCAAACCACCCGTAACACTGCGGCTCGTCGTCCCGGCAAGTCAGTGTGGATCCCTTATAGGAAAAGGAGGTTCCAAAATCAAAGAAATCAGGGAGGTAAGTCTTGGGATGTGCCCCGGGGACACTGGCTAGCTCTGCGTCCTACCGCAGCGTGCCCTGCCAGCATGATCCACTGCACTTCGCTCATTGCACTGGTGTGAGCATGTGCTGAGGGAAGAGCCGCGAAAAGCCTTGCTCTGAGGGAAGCAGGTGCCCAAGCACAGCTGTACCCTTGGACCTTCCATGAAGCTAAAGACCATGGGTGAAATAAGAAACAGCTTTACAACGTATGAGTCTTTGATGCACAAGTTAGCAAAGCAATGGTTTAGTGACTGAAGTGGCTCATCCAGCTTCTCAGCGGAGCGTTGAAGCCATTTCCGAATCAGTTACCACCCTTACAGCCAGAGAAAGGCCCAAGTAGCACTGGAGAGTCCAGGTTAGTAGGTCAAACGCTTGATCTACTTTTTAGAAAAAATTTATTTTCATGCTCCTTTCCTGTTTCTTCTTAATCTCACTGTGCCACAGGTGACCTGTTTTCATATATTCCAAACCCATATTGATCTTTTTTAAATCCAGACTTTCTCTAATGGTGTTCTTGCAATGTTCTGTGCTAGCAGCCACTTTTTCCTCAATCAGAGAATGCAAAAATTATCATACGGCACCAGTCTTAATTCTTCCATGCATGATTGCAACAACATAGCCAAGCCAAAGATCCAATGTTTTTAACCAGCCAAACAAGAAAATTAGGTACATGCTAAGTACACGTAGAGAAAATCTAAATAGGACATTTCAGAAAAATGGATTTTTTTTCTAGAGGAAGTGACAGTGCTCCTTCTACATTTGTGTTAATCCCAATGTAGGATGAGTTGAATATCAAGATAACATATTGATACATTGTTTTTATTTGACTATGTCAAAACAAAAGCTTTTGATAGGCATTACCAAACTGAAACTTCTGGTTTTTATCTAAAAGGTAGATTCAAGACAGTAGGTTTCATTGAGCTTTTAAGTTTCATTTCACACATCAAAAAAAGTTAACAGATTATTTTTTATCAGAGAAAATTTGATCAGGAGTGGAAAGAGTTTTGATCAAAATTATATGTCCAGTATTTGCTTGAAATGTTAGTTTATGGTAGCCATGGAAGGAAAGGCGATCATAGAGGATAGTTAGGTGTCTCATCCTGTTGACTTTCAAGTTCTGCCAAATTATTTCATTTCGATTCCAATTTGATTGTCCCAGGAGTTTTTTCAACAAAGTTCGATCTGAAGGCTTATCTTCATCTTTCAGGATCTGGCTGCTACTGAAAGGGACTTTTCTCTCCTTGCATACAAGGCAGTAAAAGCAGCGTGTACTGCTTCCATTAGCTGACAGAGCTGCCAAAAGCTGTTTCAGAGTTTTTGTTGCCAAGCAAACAGCATGTTGTTCCTCCATGTGCCTCTTGCTCTGTAAACTGTGTTCATGAAAACATGAATAGGTTGTCTGCTGTAAACTCACAGAAAAACAACTCAGAGCCCTGCCATTTGAAGGGGTCTCTGTGCTTACCGAGACCTGCAAATAAAAGGCAATTACAAATCAGACTTTTTTTCTTGGAATGCTGTCGCTTTATTTTTCATCAAAGAGTCTGGGAGCCATGCCTCACAGTAGTCCTTGTTATCAAACCAGCTTCTGAGGAAGGAGTTGCTTGATGACACTGATGGGGAGAAAACATTATTTCTGTGCAGATGTTAGAGTGATAGGAAACCCTCTCTCTTTTTTCCTTCAATCCCCAAAAACCTTTGTGAGAGAACTTTGTATAGATGGGGGAAGATACTTGTGTGTTGAAGTGGATTTCCTGAGTGGAAGGAAGGTGTTCAGTTGTTCAGTTTGCCTTACACGTGGGACATTTCTTGCTCATATCCTGCACAGCCATCGGGCTGTTGGTGTTTGCAGCCCTTTGCGTCTGGGTGAGTCGGAAAGCCTGCCGAGCGGCTGCGCGCTCGCCCCGGCAGGCAGCAGGTGAAGCCAGGCTAAAGCCTTGCCACTGGAGAAGGGAGAGCTACTGTCAGAGCACTCGGTCGGAGGTGACCTCAGCCACAAGACATGATTTCTCATGGTTCTCCAGATCTCTTAGGCGTCCAGGAGAACCATCAGGCAGCAGG